ACATACCGAACCACCCAGCCTATATTTACGTGGCAACTCCCAGGGCCCTCACCCCCCTCCCCATCCTCAACCCCCTGGCACTGTCCCCGCGAGTTCGTTACTGTGCCGATCACTGTGGGTGCAGATGGCGGATCAGTACCTTTGTCCGTAACGTACAACATGCCCGTCCCGTCTGGTGCTCCGGTCCTCGGGTGATTCTGCCACTTGCGGCATCCATTTACGCACCCCTGTTTCTGCCTCGGTGCCTTAACATGCGCGTCCTTCACCTGTCTGCCTGCCGAAACGGCACACATAAAGAGTTTAATGATTGTCCCGCGGTAGAGTTAGTGTAGGTAGGGTCAGGCTTGAGGCTACATGACAGATATCGGCTGGCATCTGAATCTCCTGCTGGACTCCCTTTCCGCGCTGCTGCAAAACTGTCCGCCGCTGCCGGGATGCGCATTCTGCTCTGTAGTGCTCTCCCCGCTGCCTCGCATGCGCCGCTCTGCCGTCTCGCTGCAGCGACGAGCTCCGCATGCTAATCGGCATCTAGCGGAGAGCGGGATGGACTGGATCGCTTCTACTGGTGTGCGCACGCGGGGGAAGATGGAGGGATGGGTTGCCGAGAGACGGGGAGCGAGGCGGAGAGAGACACACATGGAACGAGGGAGGGAGGAAGAGAGAGAGCGAGAGAGGGAGTGAGGGAACGAGAGAAGGAGGGAGGGATGGAGGGGGGGGGACGGATCTCGGCCCCCATCAGGTCACTTTTTCTCTACGATTGAGGCAGTTTGTATCCGCTGCGGAATAAAAAGGAGCCGAACACCTGAGAGAGGAAGAGCGAGGAGGAGGAGGGGAACGGCTGGCTGTTAGCACGGGCGACGGTGCTGAGCGTACGGGCTTAGGGAAGGCGACGATGGAAGGGGAGCCCATGTAGGAGCGCTGGCAGGAGGCGCGGTGCCACGCATCAGGTTTTTCCGTCGTTCCGGGGGGGACGCTGGTGAAATCTTGCAGAATCCCACCCGGGAAAAAGAAGGATTTGCGGCTGGAAGGTGCTGGCCGACCTTTTCACTCGGACAGGGATTATCTGTCTGGTGCGACAGGATACAGTGTGGGCCCCCCTGCCCTCCGCGGTTCGCGGGGTGACCAGCTTGTCCAGGGATCGCCTCCCTGTTGGGTCTCCCCCTTTTTTCACTTGGAATTTTTTCATTTATTTTCTCAGGAAACGCGACTCAGTATCGAGAGGGATTTCCGAATCTCACCCCGTGAGTGGGAGGGTCCACGTTCCTCCCTGTCTGTCTGCCGTGTGAGTGTGTGCATCTCAGTGTGTGTGCGCGCCTGTGTGTATCTGCTTTTTTTTCTTTTACACGCTTCCTTACGTATGCACGCTCAGCCTGTGCCGCCGTGTGTGCTCCTGGTTCGCGTGTGCTGGCCGTCGCCGTGTGTGTGTGCACGTCTGCGCGCGTGTCTCCGCCATTTTTAACCGCCCACCCGCGTGTCTGCGGCCCGCCTGCTCCGGTGGTTGTCCGGGAAGCAGCGGCTTTGTGGGCAGAGACGCCTGCCGGGAGCGTGGTGATAACCGCCGTCGCTCACCTGTGAAATCACGCTGCCGGCTTGGGTCTGGCTGTCATTCATGAACGGGCCACTCTAAACCGAGAGTATCACGTGACCGCTGGGGACTTCCTGACTCTCTTCCTGCTGACGTAAGGCGCGCCCCTCCAGACCCGGATACTGGAGGCCCACAGCTCGAAGGTGTCCCAGCATCCTCTGGCAGGAAGAGGATCCTGTGTTTTTTTTTTCCAGAAGACTGACATTGTAGAAGCAACAGGAAAAGGGACAGAGAAACAGTACAAGCCGACGTGGTGGCTGGGTCTTTAGGGGAAGGGCTGATTCAGCTGGTCTTGTACCACAACCTCGGCAAACCTGTTGTCCTGCTTCCCAAACCCGACACCTGCTGCAGCCCCGAATCCCGCTCGCCGGGCGACCATGATCGGGGTGAACAGCCTGCACTCAGCGGGCCGCCTGCGGTCGCGCTCTCTGTGTTCCGTCCGCTACGGCCGCGACTTCCGGGTCATGGACCCATTTCGGTTCCCACGGACGCCACGCTCACGCTCCCTCAAGCCCCTCGTGTTCCCTGACCTACTGGGCAAGGCCCAGGATGGACAGAACCACCCACAGGCCCGTAAGAAGAGGAAGGTATGCAGTATAGGCGGGTTTTCACCTTATACCTCACCTGATGGAGTCATCTTCTCATACCTCACCTGATGGAGTCATCTTCTCATTACACCTCACATCTTTATGCTGTAGCTCACCTGCTACAGTTATGTTTGTATTATAGTTTTTGTTGAGTTCTGCTGTATTTGCATCAGAAACCCCACTGTAATATACATTTGTACTAAACAGCTTGGTTCAGCTTTGCATGAGAAGTTCACCTGTTGGGATGGTCTGCATATTAGCTCTCTGTAATTATCATGTCACAACATGCCTGGCCCAGCAGAAACACAGCAGTGTGGCTCATCACGCTGCCCTCTCCCTTCCCGGTTCCATCTTCAGCCTCAGCGGGTCTTTACAGCACCTCATACCTGTCGAGGCTCATTGTCTTTTCTGTTAATACTTCCCCATATCCTCACAGGGCACATTTCTTCTTCATAGATCTACACGATGGTGGCCAGAACATTGCATTTTTCCATAAAGGGATTACATTCATGTTATATAAGGGGGCTGGGTCTGTGAGCTATAGTGTCAGAAACCCTGCCAGCTTACTGGTCTCTGGGGATGTTAGTACTGGGAGGCCTGGGAGGTGTGTGTGGATGGGCTAAACTGGTAGACCAGTCCTGGGAGAGCAACTCAAAGTGTATTTATCATTTTATGTAAACTAAGTAATATTTCCATCCTGTGTCTTTACCATCATATGCTGTTTCCGCTTTAATCCCCCTGGTTTTTGCAGTCTAGCTCAAATGGGGGTTGTGTTTTTAAAGACCAGTTTAAACTGGACCACCTCCTTGGCACCCAGTATGCTCAGAATGATGCTGCAGTGATGCACCATGGGTAAACCAGAATTGCTGCTGGTGAATATTCATCTAATGACGTGAGAGCTTCAGCAGAGCACCATAAAAATACGCCAAGGATTTCGGGGGAGGGCAAGATCCGGTTGGTTGTTGTTGCTTGTTGGGAATGGTTTGATAGACCTGGGCCCCCCCTGTTGGCCCCCCATTGGCCCCGCACGGCTCCTCCATGGAGGCTGCGGCTCTTCAGGTTTGCAGAAACCAGCAGGAGGTGGGCGACCAGCTGTCTGCATCAATGGCCAGCTCACTCTCCCCCTTGCTGGTGGGAATCGGCAAGGATTTAGGCTCACAGGTGCAGCTTTGTTAGGTGGAAGAGCAGCCTCAGCAAATATCGGTGCGGCGTTTCGGGCGGATGCCGGAGCCGGCCGGTCCGAGGGAACCACAGCCTCTATAGAGCAGCTTCTGTACCCTCAGGCCTGGTACTTAACCCCTGGCTCCCGCCCGTCGCTGCTGCTGAGGTCACGTGCTTCTCCACTGGGGGGCCCCTTGGCGGACGTCCAGGCTCCGGCAGCCAGGAATTCGGGTGGCAGGCTGGGATTCTGCTCTTTCGGGCAAGCGGGGGACTTGGCGCTGTTACTGAAGGACCCCCCCTCCAGTAGTCCTGCATGACTGCCTGCTAATGGTTGGGGGGGGGGGTCCTTATTGGGTTTTCATCCCTTTCTTTCTTGGTATAAACGTTGTTGTGAGAATGGACTCTGCATAATCAAATGTAACTGGTCGATTAATTAATTAGTCATCCCCTGACCCAAAGACGTACCACGCCTCCTAAAAATGAAGTGATTAGGAGCTCTAGTTGCTGTACTTACATGGCAGTTTACAGAGTAAAAGGCCGCACCACGCCGCGGGGTCTGTGTGGCCCCTGAAGAGGGGCCCCTCACCCAGTCCATCCTCTCCCCTGTGAAATGGCGAATCTGACGCTGGCTAGCCCGGTCCGCTCACCAGTACACCCCCGCCGCTGCCCCAGCTACCATGCTGTGAGTCAGCACCATCACCCCTCTGGGGTCTTATTGTAGACAGTCTGTCACCTGCCCAAAGCATATTACCCCCCATAAATGGGGGGGAGGCTGAGATGATTCCTGAGTAACAGGGGCCCTAAAAAATGTAATTTGATTGGTCTGGGTGGGGGCCCAGTATGATACGTTTTTTTGGTGCCCAAAATCTCTAGCAGCGCCCCTGCCTTCTATACGCTGCAGAACCCCCCTTGGTTATGCTGATGAGATGGGGGGGTGGGTTTTCTTAGGCAATAAAGTCTGTTTAGGCAATCAAGATTAGGCAATGGTGCGTCTGCGGCTGCGTGTCTGCGGCTGCGTGTCTGCGGCTGCGTGTCTGCGGCTCAGCGAGCTGGGATGCTGTGTCTGTAATCAGAGGGTCACCAGTCTGACTCTCTGGGTCAGCAGAGTGATTTCACCTTCGGCTCCTTAAGGCCCCCAGCAGCCAGACCCTGCTTTCTCGAAAGATTCAGAGAGGTAAATAAAATGTGAACTTCAGCATGTGAGATTTTAAAGTGTAGACAGTTAGGGGTCTTCTTGTGAAATAGAATGTCTTTGATGAGTCAGACCTAACAGTGGCCATGAGCTTGGGGTCCGTCAAGTGTCACCCCGTGTGTCTCCATCTCCAGCCGTGGCCTCCAGTGGTCGTACCCATATACTTCCCTAGAGGCCTGATCCGTCGTCCATCCTCCATGCTTGAGAAGCAGTAGTTAGTGCCCTGCTGCCTGCAGTCGTGCGAGGGTCGTTGGCCCTGTGGTGTCATGATGGACAGGAGCAGAGTCAGCTGTGGGACCGTCGGCATTCGTGTGGCTCTGTCTGTTGCTCTGGCCTGTGTGGATGGGGGTGTGCAGGCGACGGTGCTCATTTTGGGGATTTCCTGGTTCCTGGGCGGCCCGAGGCGGTTCCTTTCTGGAGGAGCACTCCGGCCTTTCTGTGTCGCTGACTTCCTGTCCCCCCCCCCCTTCTACAGGCGCTGTACAACTCCATCAAGAACGAGAAGCTGCAGTGGACCATGTAAGTCGGCCGCGTCGGTGTTTCCCAGTGCATGTATGCATGCGGCAGGATGGGTGGAGTATGAAGCAAGTTTCACATCGCAAATGTTACTGCGGGTGAGCAGCTGTGTGCACTGGTGAAAACATCCCCTTATGCATGGATAAAAAGTTCTATGTATGAAGATCTGTGTAATTCTGTGTGTGTGTCTGTTTTTGTAACTATTACATTGTGGGGACTAGATTTCCCCACAATGTAATAGAAACCTATACATTTTTTTCCAAATGGGCACAATTGTCTGGTCTCCAAAGAGGGATAACCATAATTTAACAAATGTCAGAAAAACTAAAATAGCCAAAAGTCTTGTATTTTGTTTGGTTACTTACGGTTAAGGTTAGGACTGGGTAGCGGTTAAGGGTGTCATTGTTGGGATTAGGGTTACGCCCTAGAAATGAATGGACGGTCCCCACAAAGACATAGATACCTAATCTGTGTGTGTGTGTAGGAAGATGGCCCAGCCGCATGCCAGTTCGCTTACACCTGCAGGCACATCTTATTGTGCATTTACAAACGATTATGGGAGGCGTCGCCTGGGCAACAAACAGCACCCCCCCCCCCCACACACACTCAGTCCAAGGTGCCAACGAGCGAGGCCAATCTGTTCTCCCGCACGGTGCCGACGAGTGGCTGAATAATGGATGAGCGATGAATGAATAATTCAGTCCTACGTCGCTTCCGCGTGTCACTCAGGAACCCGGACCGTCGTAAGTGATGGGGCAGGTGGGGAGGAGATCACATCGGCGGGGGGGCTTCTGATGGGCAGACGGAGGGATCGACAAAAGAGAGGGAGCAACAGAGAGACCCTGCCCAGAAAGTGGCGTGTCGACTGCTATCAGGGATATGGGTGCAAGCTTCACAGTCTACTGCCAGCCATGTTTGTTTATCTCAGAATATTCAAAAGCACACAAAGGCACTTCTGCACCAGGGTTTATCGGCGTCTTTACTGGTTCCCAGTTTGTGCCGGGCCGGCTTATGGACGTTGCTGAGTGTGTTTGCTCGAGCACAAAGCGTCGTCAAGGGCTGCTATTCTGGATTTGACTCTGGAGATGTTCAAAGCCGTCAGTTATGACTCTGGCTTTTCCAGGCCTTGTTGCTATAGCTACCGTTTCATGGCTACATCTCTATAGCTTCTTAGGACTGAAGGCAAACAGACACACTCACAGTCACACACACACACAGTCGCAGTCACACACTCACAGTCACACACACACAGTCACAGTCACACACCTACAGTCACAGTCACATAGACACACACACATAGACACAGTCACAGACACATAGACACACACATACACACAGACACAGTCACACACATAGACACAGAGACACACATAGACACAGTCCCACACACACACACACACACACGTTCTCCTGCAGCCAGTGTTTAAGTGACCATATCGGCAGACCGCTTCTGGTCCATCCATCCAGCCGGCCCCCGGCGGGCCTTACTTTGGTGTGTCTCCCCCTGCATCCTGCGGGGAGCCTCAGAGACCCTGCAGGTGTTGCCATCCTATCTGGACTGTCGAGACGGGGAGAGGGACATGCAGACAGGGCAGGGGGAGGGGCCCTGGGCTCCCCACTCGGCACAGCACAGCGCCCCCTGGCGCAGAATATGCGCGTTTATGAGAACTCCCCGCTTTTTATGTCAGGACTCTCCATCTCCTTCTCCCCTTCACGTTCTGCACGCACAAAGCAGGCCAGCGGTTGCCAGGCAACGGAGGAGGAGTGCTCCCCCGCGCGCTGGCAGGCCGCACTTCACACCAGCGCCTCGTTGGCTAACCTGAGCTTCGTCCCGGCCCGGTGGTGGTGCTGCAGCCGCTCCCTGCCACGTCCCCCTCTCATACGGCATGTGATGGGGGGGCCCTTTCGTGTGACTCGCTTCTGTCTCCCGTAGCGACGAGGAGGAGCTACGCAAGTCCTTCTCCGAGCTGGGCGACTCCACGTCCCGTGGGGCCAAGCGCATTGGCGGCGGCGGCGGACACTCCCTAATGGGCGTGACCCCCCAGCCAGGCGCGCCTGTCTACAAAACTGGCTTCTTGGTGCGCAAGGTGCACGCGGACTCCGACGGCAAGAGAAGTACGTACCTCTCCCCCCGCTGATCCCCGACATGGACCCGCCTCCTCCTGCAAGCCACGCCCCCTCCCACAAACCCAGCCTTCCATACATGGAGGCCACGCCCACCCTCGTGCCGCCCATGTGACACATTTCAGCTCGTGACTCAGCTGCTTAATCAGCATAATCTGTCATCCCCCTTCGTATCTGATCTGCCTAGAGGCGATTCTAGGGGGGTTTTTAAGGTGGGGGGAATAAGAAAGGATTCAGGGGGATCTACACTTGACAAGGTCCCTTGAATATCTTAAATTATACCATGAGATTGGGGGGCCCAGAGCTGGGGGAGCTCTGACCCCATCCCCAGCCTGACCCGGTATGTGAAAGCAGCTCCCCGAGCTCTGACCCCACCCCCAGCCCGACCCCGGTATGTGAAAGCAGCTCCCCGAGCTCTGACCCCACCCCCAGCCCGACCCCGGTATGTGAAAGCAGCTCCCCGAGCTGCAGCGCTCGCATGTCTGGGCTGCAGGCTTCCCCGAGGCCTGCCCCTCCCCCCACAAGTGCAGTGTCCGGTTCTGACCGTGGCCATGTGGTTCGCAGCTCCACGCGGGAAGCGAGGCTGGAAGACCTTCTATGCCGTGCTGAAGGGCCTGATCCTCTACATGCAGAAGGTATGGCGGTCAGACTTCACCCCCACCATCCAGCTGCTTGCATTTCCCTGAATGCCCAGTGCATGATTTCACAATTTAGCTACTTTGGTACAAAAGCAGCTCTTGGATCCTAAGACGTCATACTCCCTTTTGGCCTGCAGGGGGAGCTCCGGCCAGAGAAGCAGCTGTCTGACGAGGACCTGAAGAACGCCGTGTCCATCCACCACTCGCTTGCTATGCGAGCGGCCGACTACAGCAAGCGGCCCAACGTGTTCTACCTACGCACGGCCGACTGGAGGCTCTACCTCTTCCAGGCCCCGTGAGCTCACTGACACCCGTCACCCCGCAGTTCATTTTTTAAAGGCCCTGCCCACATCATTTACACCTCTCATACTGCCATACTAAGACAGTAACCCTACCCAGACGATGTACTCCTCCTCCCAGTATGAGGTCCTGTCACACTGCCATCCACCTGCCCCCTCCCTGGATGCCCCGCCCTCCACAGGGGCATTCGCCCAATCCCGTTCACCCCTTTGGAAGTCCCGCCTCCTGGCCTTGGCCAATCACGTGCAGACTGTGCTTGAGAAATCCCCGCCTTCCCATGGGAGAGGGTGGTCTACTCGCTCTGCTCCAGTTGCTGCCTGCTGTGTCCCAGATAGCCCCATAGCCTTCAGCCTGCATCCCCCCCCCCCCCCCTGCCACCTACCCCACCCGGACCACTTTATATACTAATTATTGCTGAGTATTTCTGTCGTGTGATGGGCAGATGGAAGGAGCTCTACTTGTAATGGTGTCTTAATGACTGCAGGATAATGAAGTCGTGAGTAATGTTTGAATATTAGCCTGGATGTTCATCTCCCCGGTAATGAAGTCTCACTATGAGCAGGGTGATCATGTCTGCAGAAATATTATTTGGGTAATAGCAAGTTTTATCAGTAATGACGCCTGAATATGACGCGGACGATCACGCTGTCAGTGATGCTGTTTGAGTATCAAATGGATCAGTTCTCGTTAATGATGTTGGGGCAAAATGCTGAGTCAGGAACCATTGCCTCTGGGGTGTCTGTGTCCCGCAGGAACGCCGAGCAGATGCAGTCCTGGATCACACGCATCAACACAGTGGCGGCCATGTTCTCCGCCCCGCCCTTCCCAGCAGCCATTGGCTCTCAGAAGAAGTTCAGCCGGCCTCTGCTGCCCGGGTCCACCTCCAAGCTGTCGCAGGTACCCGCCGTCGAACCCGCGTCCTGCCACGCGCAATGCCCAGGGGCCATCAGGAGCGCTGTCACTGGAATTTATCCCGTTTGTTTATTAATAGGAAGGCCTATTTAGAGGGAATCTGCGTTTAAAAGATTAGCGATTAGAACTGTCTCTTCTGAGGCCTGAGTGCTAATTAATGTTCATAACGCCTGAATTCCGATTAAACGCTGCAGTGCAGAGAGATGACAGCTGCCATGTAGGAAACGTAGCGGGACTGCGGTGCTGCCCCAGGCCAGTAGGGGGCGCTGTCAGCTCACGGTTGGCTTGCTGTTGCAGGAGGAGCAGGTGCAGTCCCACGAGGCGCGGCTTCGCACCGTGTCCTCGGAGCTGGCCGAGCTGCGCTCGTACCCGCCGGACCGCAAGGTCAAAGGGCGTGAGCTGGAGGAGTATCACCAGCGGGACGAGTACCTCGACTTCGAGGTGAGCGTGGCTTTCTGCTGAATGGCTTTCTCCGGCGTGGTCATGCCGCGTTACCCTCAGCCACTCTCCACCTTTCCATCAGGCTGTGGCTCGCCCCTCCGTGTCCCCCTCCCCCTCCGCCCTGCCCCCCATCGGACCTCTCTCTAGAGCAGAATAGTAATTCCCTATTTATCCCCATGGAGGAAGCCTCATTTCGCCTATCCTTTCATGCCTGCCTAACCCCCTGAGCCACACACCTCCCTCTTCGCTCTCCTCACCCACTGCATCTTCTAACTAGCTTTCAATAGAGGCTCATCTTGCACATGGGTCCTACGCCGATAGGGCGCTGAGCGGGGCATGGCGCTCGTGCCCTCACACGCGAGTACACGCATACACATCCCCGATTCACTGAGACACTGTGGGGTTAACGGTGGGAGCAGCTTCACGGAGCCGGGAGCACGTGAACACGCGTAAGAACATGTTAACACGCAACCAGAACTGCCGTCCGACTCTAACGTGCAAACGCCGCATGCTGCTTGGCTGTCCTCACATTTGCCAGTATAAGCTAACGTTAAAGATACGTTTAACGTTAAAGAGCGAGACACACGGTACGTCAGCAGTGAGTCTGTGCCCCATGTCTCCACGTCCCGCAGAAGACACGCTACAGCACGTACTCCACGCTGCTCCATGCCAAGATCCGCTGCGGCGAGGAGGACCTGTCCGTGTTCGAGTGCCAGGTGCTGGAGGAGGGCAGCCTGCAGCAAGCCCGGTCCAGCCCCACGTTGCAGCAGGAGGGCAGCCTGGCCGACAGCGTCAAGCCCGCAAAGCGCGCCGATGGGCCCAGGCACAGCTGCCGGCAGGCAGTCAAGAAGTGAGGGGTGCCGGAGGAAGGGGGGGCGGCGCGGCCTGGGAGAGCCCCGCGTCTGGAGGGGGGGCCGTCTCGCCCCGTCCGAGCATATTTTTTGAGGTCCCAGAGGGTCGGTGGGACTGTGGAGGGCCCGGGGGAGGCCGGGGAGCCCGCATGCTCAGGGCGCCTCCTGTCTGTCCATTGTTCGTGGCCCACAGGTGAAGCTAAAGCCATGTGACTGACGTGGCGGGAGAGGAGCAGGAGGGAGGGAAGAAGCCAGCGGGGAGCCCAGAGGACTGGGGAGGGGTGCGTGTGAGGGAGCGCATGACCGCCCCCTGCTATTGCCCACAGAGAAGAGCATCTACGCACAGAGATGTCGGAGTTTTTGTACCTGAACGCATTTCGCTGTTGACAGCTGCCATAATTTTGTCCCTAATTTCAGCCAGACCCTGTACCAGTTGGTACAGATTCATGTCACCTGGAGGACCAAAACATTTTTAAAAGGCTCATAATCTCAGTTCATTTTAATTTAGCTACAGAGTTAAATGATAAATGTATTATTATTATTATTATAATTATAATTATTTTGCAGCTGCTTAGAAATTTTAGATAGCTTTTATTTTTGTTTCTGATGTCCGTAGCTGTTGCATTCTGGGTATTTGTGACCTGTCATGTCCCCTTTCCCTGTAGAAGACGCTGGCTAATGCACGTTCATTACAGCAGTAAGGCCAAGTACAGAGTCCTCCATGCTGAGCTGCTGACCCCCCCCCCCACAAAGGGGCAGGATGGGTAGGAGAGGGGGCCATCCTGGGACGATCGCACAGAACCTTGCGCAGGGCTCTGCGTTACCTTGTGTGTGGCCCTCCTCTCTGTTGGGTCACTAGAGGAAATGACATCATAATGGGGACGCAGACCCGTTTCCATGGAAACTCCCATATCCGGAGAGATGCGTCCCCCCCAGATCTGCTTCAGAAGCCATTGGCTTTGGCCATTTTTCTCTCAATGACAAAGTCTTGACTGATCGCTGGGCTTGCTTTCACATCTTCTCTTACTTATATGCCTTTGATCTAGGAAAATGCAAGACATTCTGTGCTTAGTGACTGTTGTATCTTTGTGTGACAGCATCTCCTTATATAACGTACTTTTTTCTTAGTGATAGAGGCCATTTTTAAAACTAGCCTGTCTCGCTCGTCCGATACTTGTCCACTCTTGAGTGCTGAGGAGGAGGGTCGTCTTTAAGATTCAATCCAGTCGTTGTCACTCATAAGAGAAGGACAGACTCCCCCTGGCGGCTGCCCTGTGCTGCAGCTCGGCCGTGTCACAGATGGTAAAGCCCTTTGTGACTCAGACTGTGAATGGATGACATTAACGTTAAATATGCAGCAGCTAGTGGCGTCCTTTAAGCAGGAGTTTATGCACGTATTTTGTTTGTAAAGTGGCCATTATCCTATTTTGTTACCTGGTGTGAGGCAAGTTAGCAATTTCCCTTAAATGCCAGCGAATATGCCCAGTAATCATCCACGCAACACAGTGTGGACCAAAGTGAGGATTTAATGGGATGGAGGGACCATATCGTACAGTGTAAATACCACATTACAGAAATGTCGCTTTCAGATGTTCAGATCCATTTTAAATATTTGGGAACACGGAGTTCTGAAAAATATTAAACGTTTTGCATGCCGCGTAAATATTAATCTACCTAGATTAATAAACAAATCGAAAGTTGGAAAGTGTCATGTGAAGACGAAACGCCGAGTTATGTGATACAGTTTACTTAGGATACGTGGCGTGATGGTTGGGATTAAGCGGATCTGTCCGTGGGTGCAAATTCCTCTTTAGGGAACGGTGCTTGCAACCAGCATGTTGTGGGTTTGAGTCGGTGACGGTGATGGCGGTGGCAGCGGGGGAATGCGCTGTTTTACCTTTAGTTAACCTGTTGCTTTACTTAAATAACCAAGCAGCATACATGAATAAATTGCATATATTTTGAATGAAAGTGTTCGCTATGAAGCTAAATAACAGCCGCTTACTGAACCCAGGTGATTTTTTTTTTTAAAAGAATGATTCCATTTAGTACCTTAACCGTGGTATCCCGAGCATGATGTGAAACGTGGTAGTTATTGCCGTATTCGTCGTTCTGTTTATTCGTTTAGATTTCAGTTCGAAAGTGACGTACAATGAGGGAGACTTAATCTGAAAGAATGCAAGGGCTCGTCTTTTGGAGAAAAAGCAACAAAAATCATTTAGCATTTGTACGAGCAATGAATTTGATTGAAGATCATTTTATACGCCCTAGTTTATCCTTTAACGCGCAAGGATTTTTATACATTAACAAAGAAGAAAATGACCATTTTAAATGATACCTGTAGTGATATTTAAAGAGCTGTATATGAATGTAAACTATTCCTAAGGAGATATATATACATATATTCCGCGGGTATGACGTAGTCTCTTGGTGACGTTGGAATGCTATTATTATACTCAGGCTCCTGCTCTTTGTAGAAAAACCATATGCAGTAATAGCAGCATTACACCAGCAGAGGGCGCTGTTTCACTGTATAACCGGCTCTGCCATAAAGCTCTTAAGGCAGCACTGAACACAGTCAATTCATTGTATACCAGTGTCCGCCAAACTCTTTCTCCAGCCTGCCGTTTCTTGCGAGTGAGGATCCAGGAAGTGTGTCACATGTGCGCGTTTCTCTGTGTAAGACTCTTATGCATGGAAGATCCCCCCTTTTCACCGATGGTGCTCTTTCAGGTGCCGGGTCGGGGGAGGGGGGGGGGGTGACTGGTCCGTTTCGGACGGGGAGTGGGCGGGGCCAGCGCACGTCACTGTTTTGCGTATCTCCCACACTTGTCTGTCTCTTATGCATCGCCCCTGGTTGAAGGGACAGCCGACATGGTGACATGGCCGCTCTGTACATACATCCCAGCATAGATTTCATGGCACATTGCGGACTAAGGTAGCTTGCCTTAGTTCTAATGAAATGCGCGTTAAAAAAAAAAAAACAAGGGATGCATTTTCCATCTGTCTGTGCAGCCGACCAACACTTGCCAGCTGGGGATGCTGTGTTTAGAATTGTTTACGTGCCATCACTCACCAGGGACGACGCGCTGGGAAAGGTGTGAATGGGGTTCTGCATCTCCAATAGCTATCATGTGACTTCTTTTAAATGTTATCACTGGGGTCCTTTGGCCCACTTTAGCTGTTCACTTGATGCCTGCTCGTAAAGAAGCGACCGTAAGGAAATATTTGTATATGAGCTGTTTTTTTTTGGAGGCCTACTGGTAAAATTATAATAAACAGGTGTTTTAAAAACAACTGCATGGCTGCCTTTTGTGTGCAAAGTAACATGCGTCACTCAGGAACATTCCAGAATATCTCATGGTTTGTCTTGTCCAGGAGCAGATCAAGCACCTGCTGGTGGTATAAATACAGCAGGAGAAAAGGACTTGCTCCCATAACCGCAAGGTTGTTGGTTCAAATCCCTGGAGAGGGATAATTGCCTTAAAATAAAGCGCTGAACATCTGGCTGAGAGGTGAGGCCATTTACTATGCCCCGGAAGAAGATGATTTTATTAAACGGACTTAAGAGATGGTGCCTTTCAAGGGTGAGAATAAGCTTCACAGTGACAGGTGAGTTTTCAGCCCCTTAAGCAGTTACACATTTAGTGAAGCCACCTGCAATGTGCATCTTTGCTGACAAACACTAAACTCTCTGTTTTTACTCACAGCCATCAGAGGACTACCAGCATTGAAATACAATATAAAGGAATTTTCCTATTTTAAGCTTGTTTATTTTATGGTGAGAATTAAAATTGTTTGCCTGGTGGAATATAGAAAATAATGTGTTAATGTTAAGAAATCTCAGCCAGAGAATGATTAAAGCCTAAGATCTAAACTTACTAAAAAAAAAAAAAACTTTTAGAAAAAAACTTAAATCAGGACAAACAGCTGGAATGGGGACCAGACTTTATTTAAAAAAAGACTTTAACAATAAACACACAAACCTCAGTCCCAAGCTGCTTCAGGAAAAGGTCACAACATTCAAATATATTTCATTTCAATTTTGCACATTTCCCTGGCTGGCAAAGATATGCTTTGTGGTCTTCTACCCAGACAAAGAATACACAGTATTTGTAAGACGGTGAAGACTTACTACGAAACATCAAGTGGGTGTAATATTTCCTGTGGAAGAGAATCTCGCGTCCCGAAGATGCCTCTGCTGGGCAAACTTTTTCAGTAATTTCAGAACCGTAGAGCTTTGAATTTTTTGAGCCCACGAGTACTAGCAACTCGGGCAGGAATGTCACTCCTCATGTCACATGATACCTCTATAGGGACCTCTCATGCCTGATCAGTGACATGGGGCCAGGCCTCAGGGCTCAGGAGTTGGCAAGGACAGGCCGCTCCATATCGTCCATCGTCTGGCTGCCAAAACCACTGTCTTCTGTGGCATCTGATTAGGGAATACCAGTGTGAGACAGGGACACAGTGACACTGTTAATAGCTATCCACTGATAACTGGCCATCATTGTCACACTTTCATGCCACAAAGACTGTAGATAACTGCCAAGAGTATGTTTCTTAGCAATTTCTTGGCTGCTCATTATGGTATGCATTCCAAGCCAACCAAACTATGTGCCATTTAATTTAATTGTAGCTGGCCATTGTAAACAGAGAAAAACCGATTTAGGACATCACGGTGCACTGGAATCTGAAGTATGTAGACTTAACTGGAGTTCACTGAGAATGTGATGTCACAAAAGGGCATTGTGATGTCACACTACTCAATATGGCCCATACCTGCACTGTGCGTCTTGTCCTTCATCTCTGTTTGTCTTAGTAGCATCACTCCTTCGTTCAGGCCCAGTGACTGCAGGGCCTCCACCAGTCCTGCCACCTGACCCCCGCCCACCTGCACACGAGACAAAGCACGTTCCTCTGATGACTTTCCACACAAACTCTGTCCATCCCCCTGAACACTTTTCCCCCTCTTGCTGTCTTCCACCATACAGTTCAGAAGACCAGAGTGCAACAGGTTGTGGGTTCGCATCCAACTTGCTTTGCTATTTCAGAAAATTAATTGGCAAAACGCCCACTGCGAGCAGATCAGTGAAGCAAGACTTCACAATCTGTTACTCAAAAGAAAGGAACAGACTCCCCCAGCTTCACAACACATATGCTCTCGGAGAAGGAGAGATGGTGCGCAGAGTCCCAGGCCAGCCCCACCTGGTAGCTCTCCAGCAGGCTCTGGCAGGGAGAGGGGGTCTCCTGGAAGAGGTCGGCTAGCGTCAGCATCCCCAGCTTCTCAGCCAGATCCCTCCAGGGAACGTGGCCCCGGCTGAGGATCCCGTCCAGCTGCTGAAGGACCTCTCCGTCCAAATGGGACACATCTGGGGTTTTGGGAAGGGATCGGGGGGATACAAAGGGTGAATGGGTAACCATTGCAGGGTGGCCTAGCACCGCCCTCATTGCCAGGCCATTAGCAGTTAGCAGCGTGCTCCTACCGTCTGTCGGTGTCTTAGGGGGGCTGACGGCATGTCTACTGGCCATGGGACTCTTCCTACAGTCAAGCAGCTCCCGAACCTGCAGGGGGCGCTAGGTGTTAGTGCAAGTCATGCACACTGATGTCCTCAACTCGTGCGAAATATACACCCTAACACCCACCTTCTGGCACTTGGCCAGGTGGAAAGGCGTGTGCCCTGGGGCAGGCCGCTTGCGGGGAATCCCGGCCTGCCGTCCATTCCCTTCTTCTCCCTCATTGACTCTCTCCTCTGCTTCCCCATGCTCCTCATCTGAGGAGAGGCCGAACAGCGGCTCATCGTTCTCCGCATTCTTCTGGGCACCTGTAGGGGGCGGCATGCCGACATGTTAGCCTGAGTACTGATGGGCAATACAGTCTTCCTGTGCTGGTAACGCAGGCTCTGAGCTCACACAGCTAGCCTTCTTACTAGTAATGGACAAAATTATGCTTTATGAACCATTTGCTGTGGTTTCTGACCCCCACTAGATGGTGCTCTTTGATAACGTGCAGCAAATGGTCCATGAAGTGTCATTTTGTCCATCACTGCCTCATATAGTTCATGCCGGCACACACAGCATAGCTCTTAGAACTGGTCTAGAGCAGCTAGCACTGAGTAACCGATTGAACAGTCTACACAGCACACAGATCTGTGCCACAGAGCGGTGATGTCACACGGTGCCTGACCTGCAGCGAGGAGCATGGAGCACAGCGTGGGGGAGCCCAGGCTGGCGGCCAGGTGCAGTGGCGTATTCCCCGCGAAGGTGATCGCGTTCACATCCGCCTTTAGCTGAGGGGGGGGGGAACACAGGGCATACTTAGGGTTGGGATTCCCATGAAATGTGAAGCGAAAAACACAATGACAAAGGCAAGTGGGTAAGGGGGGGAGCAGCCGCTGTGACGGCAGTGGTGTGACCACACTGGCCCTTTCACTGCCTTTTACAGTGCTCACTGAAAGTCTTGGGACACTTGTCTAATTCTGTTACAATGTTGCAAATGTATTGGTTACATAACAAAAGTCTAATGACAAACAGTGTTTAACATATCTGTATATATCTTCTGCACAGACCTTTTCTTTTTATAAAGTGTCATAATTTTTCTGAATGACTCATTCAGTTCCGTTCTTGCCATTTCGCTATTAATTGCAAGTGTAGCTTTGCAAAGGTGTTACTAATTAAAAAGCACCCAATGAGTCTGCTTGTCAATGAACTTTTTAACACAGAACTTTAGCGCACAATGCCAGCACAGGTAGGTAGGAGGTGGGGCACGATGCCAGCACAGGCAGGGCAAGATGCCAGCACAGGCAGGAGGCTGCTGATGCCTGATACCATATTTGGGCCTTTGACACCAAAAAAGCTCAAATTATTTGCATGTTTTATTAAATGCCTTTTGGTCCTTAGTTGTGATGGACAAAATGATGCCTCATGAACCATTTGCTGTATCTTTTTATCTCACTAGATGACGCTCTAGGTTACTCTGGTGCTTTGTGCCCTTTTTCAACAGAGAGCACCATCTGTTGGGGTCAAAAAATACAGTAGATAGTTCATGAAGCGTCATTTTTTGTCCATCACTAGCACTTAGCTATTAGTGGCTGAATTGAGCAGTATGAGGAGTTTATAGTGCCCCCCGCTGGAGAGAGTGTGTAAGGCCTGCTATATATGTCTGATGTCTTTTACCACGCTGATTCAACTCATCATCATCTTATGGGGGTTGCTGTCTGGGGGGTGTGAAATAATGTTTGTATGATGGCGGCTTCCCTGATGTGAGGGATGGGGGGGGCTTGACGGGAAGGGAAAGGCACCTCAGTGATCAGCATGAAGGCCATTCTGAAGAGGTTCTCCGTCACCGCGAGGTGTAGCGCGGTGCAGCCACCCTTCAGCTCCGCCGTGTTGATCCAGGCGCCTGCCTCCACCAGGGCCCGTAAGCATCGCTCCGCCCCCTTCCGCACAGCCAGGTGGAGCGGGAAGAGCCCTGGGGGGTCCGGGGGAGAGCTCAGAAGTCAATACAATTCATCTCTCAACCGTTACTATGCAATTCCATGCAATACTTTCCCAGAGACATTCTCTTGCTAATTACTGTTACGTATTAATTGTTATTAATAATAATTGATACTGTAGTGATCCCCATGGATAAATTCTCTTTAAGCCTCTCTGGTGACAGCAAGCTGGCTGTGAAGGGCAGCCACCCGTAGCGGCAGGTGGGGGTTAACGGTCTTGCTCAAGGACCTGCAAACATGCCCAGGCTGAATTCGAACCGCCAACCTTCTGATCACAGGCCCACTGAGGCATGTGGCTAAATGTGTGTATTATGCCACAATATACCTGCAATTTCCTTCAGGATAAATTGTCTGTCTGGCTGGGTAACTAGCAATCTGACTACCTACCCTAACAAACAGGCTGGAACTGCAGACCTGCAAAGTCACAGACCACAGATTCCAGCTGTTTATGTCTGCAACATCTAAGCGCAGGTAGCGGCCAGGAAAACCTGCCGCCTACGATAAACAGCCGTGAGTATGAGCTGTACGAGCTGTATGAGCTGTATGAGCTGTATGAGCTGTACGAGCTGTACGAGCTGTACGAGCTGTATGAGCTGTACGAGCTGTACGAGCTGTACGAGCTGTACGAGCTGTATGAGCTGTATGAGCTGTACGAGCTGTACGAGCTGTATGAGCTGTATGAGCTGTACGAGCTGTACGAGCTGTACGAGCTGTATGAGCTGTATGAGCTACCTTGCACTGCATCTACTGGCACCTCCGTCACATGGAAACTATGAGTGATGATGTCCTGCTATGAGAGGAACCCTGGGGTGGCTGTGTAGGCGTGCGGACATTCTGTACTGATACTGTATGAGTCTCCATGTCTGTGACGTATATCACCTGCTGGTGATGCGCATGTAACGTACCGCTGTGGTCGGGCACGTTGAGCAGGTGGGAGTGCCGCTCCCCCAGGGGGGCCAGCACTGTGCGTAGCATGGTCTCGTCCCCCAAGGCCGCGGCCAGATGCACCGGCGTCCGCCCGTCCCGATCCAGGAAGCTGGGGTCAGCTCCTGCCCCCAGCAGGAAGCCCGTCACCTTGGACTGCCCCGTGATCACCGCCAGGTGCAGAGGTGTCTGTGGAGAGGCATCATTACTCCAGTTCAGTTTCGAGGGAGGGGGGTGCGTCTGTGCACTGATGCATGCTGGGCTCTCAGCCCACTGCTCTCCTAGCTACCCACTATTGTATTTTTCACAGTGTCACAAGTTCTCTCAACCCAGTCCTAGGAGACCCCCAGACTGGGGTGGCGGGGGGCAGTTCACATTTTTTGCTCCCTCCCAGCTCCCAGCACAACTGAACCAAATAATCAACCAATCACTGAATACCAGGTACATGTGTGTTGGAAGCTGTGAGGGAGCAAAAATGTGAAGGACCGGGTCCGGGCTGGGTGTCTGGTTCCTGTTACCTGCTGCAGGTGGTTACGTGTGTCCAGGATCTTCTGCTGCTTCATGCTGACGATGGTGCGGACCAGTTGCTCCACCACGGACGTCTGCTGGTTGATGATGGCCAGGTGCAGAGGTCTGGGGTGGCACAGAAGCACAAGCGAGCTTCAGGCTGGGAAACTCAACCTGAAGATCTGCACAGGGCGCTGGCCGAGGCCAACGGAGCGACTCACGTGTCACCATTTTCATCCTGGGCTGCACAGAGGTGCCTCTGCACAGCCAGTAGGAGGTGTACGTCTCCGGTGCGGCAGTAGTCCAGAAGGGCTCTTGCCATCTGGCGGGACATCGGGGAAGTCCTGCCTTGGACTGTGGCGGCTGGGCACAGGAGGGCTCACAGTCAGCCAGCCACATGCCACACCCATACACGCGCGAGGTCCATTCATTGGCCCAGTCATTAAGCCACACCCCTGTCATGCAGCTTACCAACATGCAGGAGGCGCTGTTGCAGTGGCGTCCCCTGACCCCGCAGTTGGCTTCCTGGGGCCGCATCCTGTGGCTCTGACGAATCGGACATCTGAGCTCCAACCCCTCCGAACTGGCCAAAGCCGCCACCCATGGCAGGGTCGAACTGGAAGCAGGAACCACCTGGCGGGGAATGGGGGTGCGTGAGGGGGGGGTGAGGAAACACTTCAGCTGCAGGAGCCCCACCAGTAGGCGGCACCAAGTTCTCATGTGCCCACGGGGCACCTCCTGCTCCTTAATCCTCACCTCCTCCACCATTGACTCCTCCCCCTCCTCCGCTGCCTCCAAGTCCTCCTGCCCCCCCCAGCCCGCCATTGTCCCCAAATGGCCCCCTCCAGTGGTCGTACATGTCAGGCAGAGGCTTCTGCTTCTTTCGCTTGACCTCCTCCTTGTCTGACGGTCCAGAAGGAGACATAGTGACAGCTGAGCTTCATGGCGACAGTGTTCATTTCACCTCCACCTTGCAGCCACCCCCCCCTTCACATTCGCCCTCCCCTTATCATCGCCACGGTAACACAGGGCCACCCGGCCTCACCTTCATTGTGTGGCACGTAGGTGAACTGCTTGGGCTCGCTGCAGTCGCCACCTTTCTTGCGTTTCAGCTGCAGGAAGACGGTGACGGGCCGCTTGATCTCTGTGGTGTGGTACTGGGGGGTCTTAAACACAATGGCGTACTGTGGAGGAGTGAGGCAGCCATGTCATCACCAGCTGGTTTAGGTACATAGACAGACAGCACCAACGAACACACAGAGGCACATACAGGAACTGGACCTGACCTGCTTGTGGACGTCAGTGGGAGAGAAGTCACCCAGCGCTTCCCAGCTTCCATCTTCGTCCTCGAAAAAGCGAATCTCAATATCATCTGGAGTGGAACAGACGAGACGGTCCATAAACATGCACAGACACTAAAGAGGCTCGGATACAATGCTATGAAACGTCTCTGTCGCGGCGAGGTCTGCCCCGTGGAAGCCTGGACGGCAGCTCCTATTGGCTGAGATCGGTGAGCAATGGGCCAATCGACTGTACTGCTTCCTTGGGTCTAGCCAGCTCACCTTTCTGCACCTTGTCACACAGCAGAAAGACCTCATCCCCCCCGAGCACGGAGCCACATGTCTTATCCATGCGAGAGATCTTCAGGTTGGAAGCGTTGGGTGACTCTGTGGGGGGAAGGGAATCCTGTTTCAGCTTTAACCTTCATGTACAGTATAGATACACCATTTTCTGCTCTGTTTTCCCTTCATCTGTGTGCTTTTCATGGTCGGTGAGACCCTACAGTCTGTTGGACGGTGGTGCGGGGTGGGGCATTGTGGGGGGGCACTCACTGCTGTCGTAGATGGGGTTGGAGATGACCGGCTTCAGGGCCAGCGTGTACTCGCCCTGGCTGTCCTGCAGATAGGCCGTGAACTTCAGCCTCACCACGTTGAGATCCATGGAGACGCTCAGCTCCTTAGCTTCTTTGGCAATGGCCTGCTCCTCTGACTCTGTGTGGACACTCACGGGACGTCAGAGCCCGGCTGGGCGAGCGGGGGCGTGACGCACGGGGGGCACGGCCGGCGGGGGCGTGACACGCGGGGGGCACGGCCGGCGGGGGCGTGACACGCGGGGGGCACGGCCGGCGGGGGCGTTA